AAAAAAAAAAAAAGATAAACTTACTATTTGAAACTACATGGATGGAACTAGAACAGATTATGCTAAGAGAAAGATAAATATCAAAAATCATTATATTTGGAATATAGAAAAATAAGGATCAGATAGAGCCGAACTAATAAACCTTACAAATCTGATTATAAAACACAAGCTACGAGAGTTGGTGGGGCAGAGAGGAGAAAGATGAAAGGGAAAAGGTAACAGAAAGAAGAAGGAGTCTTGTGATAATGAATTTAGGGTGCTCTAAAACACAACATTGTTGTTTGTAACATTGTAAATCAGTGTTAACTCAATTAAAAAAAAAAAAAAGCTGAGTAAATAATCCAGTACAGGAACAAAAACATGCCCACATTTTCCTCAAATTACCTGACATACACTGTGGACAAAAGTACTTCTAATGTTTGGGGGAAAAACTCCAACTCGAACTTTTTATCCAATCAGACTATCAGTTAAAGGAAAAGATTAACTCAAGACATCTTTAGCTTCATAAAGTCTCTAAAATAAAAGAGTAACCCAAGAAGGAAGGTAACATGAAATCCAAGATAGAAGAAGTCATCTCAGAATGGAAGTCTTAGGATGATAGTTATGCACCTGGCATAGGGACCTATCAATCCAGACTAGAGTAACTCATCTCCAAAAAAATGTGTTCCCACAAATGTATTTGATAGAAAGTCTAATCTGTTTTAATGTATTGACAGGGCACAATTTTTGATGTATAATCAGTGCTTGTGTTTGGAAAACTAAGCACAGAAAAGCAATTATTTCCAGAGAAAATTTTTAAAAACTGCAAGACAGGAAGTATACTATGTGGTTCAAAAATTAATAGCTTTCATAGAGTTACAATTGTGTAAACATTAAATACTGACTTAACTAAATTTATAAGAAAATTGAATGGGGATTTGGAAGGTAGGTAAGAGTACAACAATAAGATAACTAACTCATCTTCCATACTATAATAAAGTTAATAGATATTAATGTCTATCTCTGAAAAAAATCAAAGTAGATAATCATAAAAAAAGTTAGTTATCGATGGGAGGTGGGACAAAGAACTGTAGTTTTTTTGGTAATCATGTAAAACTGAAACTTCGTACAATAATTACATCAAACAAACATTTTCTGGAAAGCTCTAAATTGTAAAATATTTTAGACTTTATAGTCCCATGCACTCTTTTTTAATAATTCAACATTATAGTTGTAACACAAAAGAAGCTATAGAAAGTCTAATAAATATCAGTAATGTTGTAAAATATCAGTAATATTAGTTGTAGATACTGAATTTTGAATTTCATATCATTTCACATCACAAAATTTTTTTTCCTTTTGGACTTTTTTTTTTAAAGATTTTTTATTTATACATACAGAACTGGGGTACAGACCAGAGGTTCAAGGTTGGTGAGAGGCTTCACCAGAGACAGTGGGGAGCAGAACAGGCAGATAGAGGAAGTACACTGCTGAGGGGAGCAGTGGGCGGGTCAGGAGAGATCTGCCACACCATGTGGTCACTTCCGGGGCAGGCAGGAATCGAACTCATGTGGACCTGGCTTTAGCTTCTTAGTGCTGTGCTTTAACCCGCTGCACCACCAGGGAGGGCCTCCTTTTGAACTTTTTAACAAAATGCAAGAAGCCATTCTTATCCCATAGACTGTACAAAACAAGCAGTAGACTGGGTTTTTAAATATATTCATTACATCATCCTTCATTTTTGTACAATGTGATTTCCCAACACCAATTCACCTGTGCTCCATCACCGTAGTCCATTGTGCCCTTCCCACTCCTGTCCTGGTCCATCTCTTTCCTTTTCTACAGAATGTCTCTGATCTATAGTTGCTTGATGCCAGTCCTTTCTTTTAAAAAATTCAGTATATATCTGAAAATAAAAACAAAGCAAGGAGAGTAAGGGAAAAACTGGACAGAATAATTTCACATTTACCCAAAGCTTACCTGTTAACAAGGCTTCTTGTTTTATCATGAATTCATTGTAAAGGATATAGGGAAAAGATTCAGAAAATGCTCTTGTCAGCAGCAACCCATACTTTACATTTTTATATTTTCTTATTTACCAAGCTTTTTCTCTCTATATACTGTGTGATCTCCAGAGACCTATAGGCTCAGTACAATTAGTATTTTTGTTTTCTTTAGTTATCAAAGCTCTTCTAGAGAGATAATGTGACTAGCCCAAAATTATATAATTTATAAGGGACTGGATTTGAGAGTAGGACCAATGTTTATTTCCAATATTTTCCTTTTTCATTGCCTATTATTCAAATATGCCTGACTATATCCTTGTAAATTTTAACACTAGAAATAATATTTTGCAGAAAAATTACTGTCTTCTCTTTCCTTGTCATAATTCTATCCCTTTACCCATACACACTTAGAGTTAACTGCTGTAATGTTATGCACCTAATATGTTATAGGAAGAAAATAGTTTATTACTTAGGAGAGAAACAGAAAAGTTAAATAGCTATATTTCTCCTTTTTTTTTTTTTTTTTAGACTCTTAAATTCCTAGCAAAATGCCGTAAGGAGAAACAACTATGTGCTCTTTGGCAAGGACTCCCAGACCTCACAGATAACCACAGAGTTGAACTGAAGCGTCAAGTGGATGAATATGTCAGAAAACATGCAGTATGTAGGCCCTGTGCCATGATATCATTGTTATATTATTCCAGTATATGATATTCGGCAACAAAACAGTGTCTCAGATGTATAGGTACACTTTAGATTGGTGTAAGGTAAGGCAGTGGCTTTACCATACAGTTAATTGATTTGGAGTTTTCTTATAATTACATGGGCATAGAGGTATAGTCAATAGTGAAGGAAACTTTGCTTCAAGTCAGTTATTTCCTTTTCATTTGGTGTATCTCCCATACTTCATATTTCTCTGATACCAGAATTATTACTTTATTTATTTGGAACGACCATTGATAAAAAGAACTTGGTATTTTTAAGATCCATTTTGTTATTCTGTTGTCTTTATCTTCATTGACACCTCTCTTTGTTTTTTCTCTCTCTCTCACCCTCCTGTCTCTTTCCTACTCTTCCCCACCAAAACATACTCACTGTTAAAATATAAAATTAATTCTGGGCAACTAATATTTGTCATTTGATGTAATATTTAGGTAATCCTATCTTTCACCCTCTTCTACACTGTTTAAAAAGAGAACTTCATGCAAAAAAACCAAAAACTAAAAAACTGTGATGGAAGTCAGGAGTACTAATGCATGATAGCTGAACAAGTAACTGTTAACCACAAGAACAAAACTTTGGTAGAAGCTGAATTGAACAGCATGACTCAGACCAGAGGGCATAAGAAAGACCTCCTACGTCTTCATCCACTACTAGGACTTTAATTTAAATGCACACAATAATCTGAGCCTGTAGGGAGAAAAAAGGAGGGCAAGCCTGACCTATGATGTTATAACTCTCTGTGGTTACCATTTATAGGTCAACAATAGAAAAGACGTTCTAACTTCTACTTCTAGCCAAGATGGAGTAAGGGAACTAGGTTTTCTTCCTACCTGAAATGAAAGGAGGTTGGGGGAGGGAATGATAAAATACATGGCACAATAGTTTTTTAGGCCATGGACATCAGACGACAAAGAGCAGCAATCCCTGAGAAGGGTGAAAAGCAAGTCCTATACTCTCCCTTTCTTACAACTTTTAAAATTTCTAGGTCATAGCACAAGGAAGAAGAAACAAAGCAGTTGGTCTTTGGAATCATCAAATTATAGAGGTGAACCAGAGAGTCTAGGAAGAGCAAGACAGCAAGATTTCAAAGGGTAGGGATTATGAAAGTAAAGGGAGCTACAAAGAGAGAGAACCCCAAGTACCTGTATCAGCAAATGCATGTAAAGAAACTACCCACGGGCCAAGAAAACAACCTTTTGAAAATATGAAAAGAAAAGGTGTCTGATATTCACACAAGTCAGAAAATAGTATCTGGAAAAATTCATGATTTATAAGGCATTGGAATGAGTAGTCATGAAGATCTTGCCTTAGAAGGAGGAGATAAGTAGTTTAAATTACAAAAGATTATAGTGTTTTTCATGTAACTTAGCAGCATTCCAGAAAAATGCCCAAGATTTTAGAAATATCATATGCCTGGCATCCATAAAGGTAAAAGTTACAATGGCTGGTGTCTAAACAGAGAATAAAGTCAGGAACAAGACAGGGATAATATTCAGTAGTCGGAATCCTAGTTTGTCTTTTTTTGATAGAAATTGACAAGCCAATTTAAAATTTATATAGCAATAAAAGGAACAAATGATTGTAAGAACAATGTTGGAAGGGTAGCATGACCTGATTTCAATAATTATAAAACTACAGTAGTCATAGCAGTAGTATTGATATAAATATCACAAAGAGTAAATCAGTGGAACAAAATTGAATCCCAAAGTAAACCCACATATATGACCACCTGATAATTGACAGGAGTATGCAGATAATATTTGGAGAAACTGGAAATTTGGTTATCCATATGTTAAAAAATTGATCTTGGGTCCATGTATTATATATAAAAGTTAAAAAAATTGGATCATAAGGGATTCATCTTTAACAGCAGGGAGAGCAAAAAGGAACATAAAGGGGACTACATCAAACTGAAAAGTTTGTGCACCGTGAAAGAAACTAAAATGAAAAAGATACCTTACTGAATGGCACGATATTTGCAAAACATGCATCTGACAAGGGACTGATACCAAAGATCTATAAGGAACTTATACAACTCAACAACAACAAAAAACAAAAACAAATAACCTAGTAAAACATGGCCAAAGAATAGACACTTCCCCAGAGAAAATAAACAGACTACAAACAGGCATATGAAATAATGTTCATCATCACTTATCATCAGGGAAATGCAAATCAGAACCACAATGAGAATTACCCAAACTGAAAAGATTAGAAGAAACAGTGCTGGTAATAATGTGCAGAAAAGACAACTCAGATTGGCCCAGTACTTATGGAAGGCAGTATGGACATGTGTCAAAATATTAAAAATGGATCTTTCATACAACCCAGTAACTCCAGCTAAGGAAACTTGTATTTCCATGGTTATTGCAGCACTATTTATAATAACCAGATTATGACAATACCTAAGTACGCAAAAGCAGATGAATGGATCAAGAAGATTCTATATATAGACATAATATTACTCAGCAAATAAAAAAGATAAATTCATGCCATTTTCAGCAACTTGGATAGAGCTGGAGGGTGTTATACTAAATAACAAATAAGCTATTTATGATAACTTGTAAGTCAAAAGGAGAAAGCCAAATACCAGATAATATTTCTCTATATATGAAATATAGAGAAATTAACTAAAGGTCAGATAAAGAGAAGCTTAAAAACTAACTCTTGAGGCCCTTCCTGGTGGCGCAGCAGGTTAAAGCACAGCACTAAGAAGCTAAAGCCACTTCTGCATGAGTTCGATCCCCACCCCGGAGGTGACCACATGACGGCAGACCTCTCCTGACCTGCCCGCTGCTCCCCTCAGCAGTGTACTTCATCAATCTGCCTGTTCTGCTCCCCACCCTGTCTCTGGTGAAGCCTCTCATCGCCCCTGCACGTCTGGCCTGTACCCCAGTTCTGTATGTACAAATAAAATAAATCTTAAAAAAAAAAAAATAACCCTTGAAAGCTGACTATGTGGAACTGATGCATCCAGAATAGGGAGGGGCATTGGAGTGAAACCAGGTAAGAACAAAAAGGGAAGTACTATGATGATGTACTATCTAATACTACCACAAGTAGAATTAAATAAATCATGCAATTTATTTTCTTTAAAGATTTATTTATTTATTTATGGTATAGGCCAGAGGTATGGGGGGTGAGAGGATTCACCAGAGAGAGTGGGAAACAGAATAGGTGAATTGACTGAAATACACTGCTGAGGGAAGCAGCAGATAGGACAGGAGAGGTCTGCTGTGCATGTGGGTCACCTCCCTGGCTGGGGATCAAACTTGTGCTGCAGTGGCTGTGGATCCCTTCAGAGTGCTGTGCTTTAACCCATTGTGCCACCAGGGGGAGCCCTAACACCCAATTTCTTCCTCTCTTTCCTCCTCGTTCAATACAACCATCATTTCTATAAGTTAAATTACTTACTCTGCATCACAAGTGGAATCACATAGTATTCATTCTCCTGGGACTGTTTCATTTGACAAAATGTTTTACATATTCATCCACCTCTTACGTCAGAATTTTGTTCCATTTTTAGGACTTAATGGTTTTATGTATTATTAAACCCCATTTTGCTTATGTGTCAATGAACATAGGTTGTTTCAGCCTTTTGGCTATTGTGAATAATGCTGCCATGAAAATGATGTACAAGCATGCATTTGTAACCCTGCTTTAAATTCTTTTGTGTATATAACCAGAAGTAGAATTGCTATATTATATAGCAATTCCATTTTTTGGTTTTCTGGGGGAAATCCCATGCCATTTTCACTTTACTTTCTCACCAGTAGGGTACAAATTTTCCACTTTCACCATATCCTTGCCAGTACTTAATTCATCCTATGTGTTGGAGACCAGCTGCAACAATTGGGGTGACAGAGGTTCCTGTAGGAAATGATGGTGTCTGTGAATGTGAATGAGGGACATTAACACTCAAACACTCATTCAGGTGCAAGTGTCATCTGCTGACAGTCTCAGCAGGTCTTTATTATTTTTATGTTAGCAAACAGTGGGGTTACATCACCATATGCATTGATTTAAAAAAATGACAACTATTAAATTTTCTTAAGAACCATTTGAAGTCTTTTGATCTTTAGCCAAAATTATAACATTTACCCTTTTTTTTTAAGATTTATTTATTTATGCATACAAAACGTGGTACAGGCCAGAGGTGCAGGGGTGGTGAGAGGATTCACCAGAGACAGAATGGGAAGCAGAACAGGCTGATTGACAAAAGTACACTGCTGAGGGGAGCAGTGGTTGGGTCAGGAGAGGTCTCCTTTGTCATGTGGATCGCTTCTGGGGCAGGGATTGAACTCATGTTGAAGAGGCTTTAGCTTTATAGTGCTGTGCTTTAACCCGCTGTGCCACCAGGGCGTGCCCAACACATCATTTTTTAAGGAAAACACAGCTAACAAGCAAAATGTTACTATGATTTTTTTTTTTTTTTTGTAGCTGGGGAAACAATTTACTAAAGATAAAGAAGGCAGATGAATTCGTATAGTTATAACTAACATTTCTATTTATATTATAAGAAACAGCAAAACAAAAGAAAAACTTCTTTTATCTATATTTACTAAGGATACTCATTTTCATGAAAGCATCCTAAAAAATGATTAAAACAAGGCCAGGGTAAGTAATGAAAAAGTTTACTCAGTTCTAACAGAGAGATACTAGTAGGCCAAACAACAAAGGCTTATGTTTTCTGGTTCCCAAAGTGTTTTTTTCTCCGGAGCTTAATTTAGTCTGTACATCTGGAAGACAGTGGAGTGAGGGAATTGAATTATTGGTTTGGAAAGGAATATGTTATTACAATATGTTATTAGCACTGTCTTACTTTGTATATATTAGCTTTACAGTAAACTGTCTTTTATACTTGTTGTTAGTGCCTTTTATATATAGTGTTTTAATTTGGGTGGGGTACATCTGGTCTGTTTTTTTTTTGTTTGTTTGTTTCCTTCTCCTGTCAGTGTCATATTTAAGAATGTTTTCCTTTATCTTCTAAGAGTTTTATAGTTTTGGCTCTCTTTTTGTATAATATGCAGTAAGTGATTCTGATGCATATGCTAGTTTAAAGAAGAAAGATTTCTTTTAGCATATTGTTGCAGTATGTTTAAGATTCCATGACTGGAATATAGTGTTAGCTAGAATAACATTATACCCATTTTGGGCACTAATATTTGAGAAAGCTATGGTGTCAGCAACTTTATTTGCTTTAAAGTTCAGCTTAAATTCTCTGTAAAGTAGATAACTAGAGCCCTTGCTAGTGGCACAAGAGGTTAAAGCACAGCACTATGAAGCTCTGGGCAGCCACTGCAGCACATGTTTCATACCTGGCCAGGAAGGTGACCCATGGCACAGCAGACCTCTCTTGTCCTGTCTGCTGCTCCCCTCAGCGGTGTATTTCAGTCAATTTGCCTATTCTGTTCCCCACTTTCTCTGATGAACCTCGCACTGCTCTCCTCACTCCAATCCAGGCCTGCACCCCAGTTCTTGTATGCATAAATAAATAAATATTTGAAAATAAAGTAGCTAATTGGGCCCTTTCTGAAGTGGTGAAAGTGGTTGTGCAGCAGTGTGAAGCTGGCCATAACCTCTTGGTCAAGTTGGATTCCCAGCCCCAAAGGTGTTCCACATGGCACAGCAGACCTGTCTCACCTGCTGCTCCCCTACAGCAGTGTACTTCATCCATCTGCCCCCTGTTCATCTTCCCACTGACTCTGGTGAATCCTCTCACCACCCCTGCACCTCTGGCCTGTAGCCCAGTTCTGTATGCATAGATAAAGAAATCTTAAAAAAGAAAAAAAAAAAGGAAAGAAAGTAGCTAACAAACCACAGTCATATAGTCAATTCTTTTTAATGGTTTCTAAAATTACAGGGAGTGGGGCTGGAAGGAATGATGAGTCTGTAAAGTTAGGTACAAACCAAGGTTGACCTTATGTATTATCCTTCCAGGCCTGTATCTTTACCAAGCTATTTGTAATTTTCGCTATGAGTTCTCAATCTTATCTTTCTCCTAGAATACCAGTATGTTGGAAAGTATGAAACATACCAAGAAGAAACTTACCCCATCAAGTTTTCATCTAAAGCTGCTTTGAAGAGGCTCTTTAATGTTTGCACATTAGATGTACAATGTACATGTAGATGTAGATGTCAATCATAAGACTCAATTATAAATTAAGATGAAAGACAGCTAAGCATTCTGGAAATAAGTAGTTGGGTGAAATGTACTGTGATATATATGTCACTCCTGTGACAGGTTTTCTTCCTGTCCTCTGTTCCTAGGCCTCTCACATATCAGCTGTGACCAGCAAGGAGCTCCATGCCCAAGCTCAAGAACACCTGCAACACTATTTTATGAGTAGGGCCCTAGAAGAGAGAGCCCAGCAGCACAGAGAAGCTCTCATGGCACAGATCAGCACCAGTATTGAGCAGTTAATGAGTATGTGCTCATTCCATTTTTGTTTCTCAAAAGAAACAACTCTATTTACAATTTTGTGATAACCAAAATCTTTAGAAAGGAAACCCCCATTTAATGTCTCCTGTCTTCAGAAATTTCTACATCTAGATCATACCAGCTAACAGTATTTTCAAAGGATACAGATCCCATAACAATCTTCTTATCTGCTGTACCTAGTCTTAATATCACTCTTATTTATCAGCTCAAAGTTACTGATTTTAAAGCTGCTGAATCCTTCTACCCAAAGCTGTAATGTAGTCTCAAAAGGTTTTGATCTATTTTAGAAGTAGACGAGGACAGTATTTACAGTGCTGTTATGTAATTTTTAATGAAATGCTTTCACAAAAAAGAAAAAAAACTTTATCTGTCCTTCACAACTATTTGTGCATTTGATGAGAGATCACATTCATGACAGCCAGTGTTTCAGTCTCTGAAATACTTTTAGTATAGTATATGTAGAGCAGAAAGGACCAGGGGCCTCTATTTAATGCTATTGTTTGTGACTTTTGTTTGCTTAATTAGATATATCACTGGACTGAAATCAAACCCTCATCTACAGAATGAGGTTCTACTATTTGTAAATTTTTAGTTCTCTGGATAAGCCATCAAAAAAAATCTAGAGCTTTTTTATTCTTTTATTTATTTATTTTTAAAGATGTATTCTTTTAAACACATAATTGTGAGAGTAGGAAAACAGTTGCTGCCAGCCACAGTTACAGCTTTTGGATCATCTTACATCACATACAGCTAACAGTGATAATAGATTCATAGTTGAAACCCTGTCCTTTCCTACTACAGTAGAGTTCCAACTCTGTAGTTTCTAAGTTCCTACATTTTTGTGGTATAAAACTTTTACCCAAGTGTTTGTTTTCTGTTTACTGCAGAAGCACCAAGTTTGAAGGAAGCAGAAGGCCGAGAACCTGAGCTCTTCCTAAGTAGATCCAGGCCTGTGGCAGCTAAGGCCAAGCTGGCCCATCTCACCACCCTGAAGCATATACAAGCTCCCTGGTGGAAGAAGCTTGGGGAAGAAACAAAGGGTGACATTGGTATCCCAAAGGATGAGATGAGTGTAGAAATAGAAACTTTGTTTATTGGTGGAACCAAACCCCCTTAGATTTATCTTAAGAAATGACATAAATCCTGTATTTCATGAGATTATATTGGTTCTGCCTCTGATATACCATAGCCTGGAGCTA